GTTAAGAGCATTGCCTGCTCTTCCAAAGGTCCTGAGTTCAATTCCCAGCAACCACATGGTGGCTCACAACCATCTGTAATAAAGTCTGGTGCCCTCTTCTGGCCTTCGGGATACACACAGATAGACCATTATATACATAATATACATAGTATGTATATAATAGATACATTATATACATAATAAATAATTTAAAAAAATTTAGTCATCCGTACCTACAGAGTCTGTGTTATACAGCAGAACTTTTGCTGGGGTCCCTATGATAGGAGGTCCTCCCAGACCTGTCCACTCATCTACTGTGGTGGAGGGCCGTGTTGAAGAACTCTATAGCCTGGTAGGCTTGGGCCCTGAGACCACATTTAAATATTACCGCTGTCAGAGCATTTGGTCAGTTGTTTTCATGGCTTTGGACAAACTAGCTTAGATTTGACCGCTTCCCGGCAGAATCTCTTAGACGGGTCCAACTCCCTTGCGGTCTTTTTGGACGGGGCACGCGTACTAGCGGGAGGAGCAGTAGGTACCTCCTCCTTTTTCAAGGATGTCACCGTCTGTTTTTATCAGTGCACCTCGCCCCCCAGTTGAGTAGAGATCCTTAGGCCAGGGTAGTACTTTAGTCCTTATACCTAGCACAGGGCTGGCATTTAGTGGGCGCTGGTTAGTGCCTGGTGAAGGATACCAAGCGCCTCTTCGCAGAAATAAAACCATTCCTTCCGAGTCCACTTGTAAAACGCGACTCGCACCCTTCCCTCTGGATCTGTCTTAACTGACACTCTTCCGGAATCAGTCTGCCAGCCCGGACTGGGTGTAGTTCCACCTTGAGGATCATAAACTCCCAGGAGGGACAGCTCTTCCCGTCCCGAAAGACTGGGTCCCTGGGTCTCTGGTGATGGGAGTCCAAAACTTCTAACAGCATGAGACTCTCGGGTCTCAAGGAGAAAGGAGTCACTTTCCGCCCTGTCCCTGACCTGGGGGTCCCACCCGAGATGCAAAGCCTTCAGACACAGCGTTGCTGCACCCACCTCTGCCAGGGCCGACTCGGCTTCCTGGCTCCGCTGTCTCGGAAACAATCAGCGCCGCCATCACCCCGGAGCCCACGTGGGGACCAAAAAGGCAGTGCTGAAAGAACGCGGAGAACCCAGGCAGCACTGTCGACAGCCGAGCTGCAGGCAGAGGGCGGGGACTCTCGCGGGGCGGAGACAAAAGGCAGATGTGGGCGGTGCTACAATGGGCAGCCTTCGGTCCAAAAGGTCTGGACTCTCAGGACACTCCGGTCCTCTAGTGGTCTCAAGACCACTGCGGTTGCCTTCTGAACGACTTTGTCCCCACGCTCTTCCCTGGCCTGGTTCAAAGCTGTCACTGGCCGTTAAGTGTGCCTGAGCGAGTTCTGCCGACCTTCCTGTTGCTCCCCGCCCTCACCCTTGTTCTTTTTTGGTAAGCAGTAGTCTGTCAGCTGACATAGACACATTCTCTACCCCAGAGGACGCTGCTGTCCCAAAAGAATGGAGCCTTAGTGCCTACCAGCCCAGCTCCCACGCTGAAAATTTGATGTGGATTGCTGTGCGCCCACCATGTGGAGGGTTGATATGGGAGAAGCTGGAAACTATAAAGGCTTTCTTGGAAGCATGGGGCAGCCAGAGACCTCCAATTCTCTAAACCTTCTGGGTCCTGGCAAGCTTTGGCCTGTCTAGGCTGTCTTTCAGGCGATAGCCTTTTTCCTGATCGGTGGACAGCACTCCTGGGACCCTAAGAGAAGGCAGAGCTGTCAGTGAGACAGCCTCGACCTTTGTAAGAACAAAGCACCTGCAGGGATGACCCTCAGCAGTCAGCACCACAAAGCCGGGTCACCAGGACTCTAACCCCTCCCCCATCACTCCCATCCTCCTCTCTCCGCAGTGGTACCATGAGCACAGCTGTCCCTTTAAGACAGCTCTGTGGCCTAAGGCTCCCCTGGAGGCCCTCCCTGCTTGGAAACCCCTAATTAAGGTGCGGAGAGACTTAAAAAAACAAGCAGTCGGGGACAGGCCTTGCCTGGGAGGCTGCTCAGAGGAGAGATGGTTCAGCAGGCTGGGAGTGAGCAGCCAAGGGAAGGGATGAAAAGGGTCGGTGCCCCTCAGTCTGTGCCACTCTGAGGATGGCATGACTCGGCTCAGAATGTGTTCATTGTGGCACAGTCTTTCTTCACCTTGATGAGAGTCCAGCCTGGACTTCCCATGTCTTCCAGCTTTTTTGGACATCTCCCAACCCCTCAGAGTGCAGGGTCTGAGTTCTGTCCCCTTGGCACACCAAAACCTAGACTCCCTGTGGATTGCTTCCTTTCTGGTTTTCGCTTCAATTTCCATGGTGAAAAGATTGTCACCAGTGGCACAATGGCTTCTCCCCAGCAACTGCTTCATCCCCTGGGGCCTTTACCTGGCCATAGGTATGCCCATGTCCTAACATTGCTGTATAGCTTCCATCACTCATGAGCAGCCCTGCCCCCATTAGGAAGCCAGGAGATACTGAGGAAAACTGCAGTGCAAAACCAAGAGTGTGTCCCTAAGACCTTGCGCACAGGACACCATAGCTGCCAATCAGGGTTGAGGATACTTCCATGTGTCCGTGGGGGTCTCCCTTCCTGGGTTACTCAGATGTCTGAGTAATTACCGCCTGTTGAGAAGGCAGACTCGATGTACCCCCTCCCCCATTACAGCACAGCTCCCACCTACAGCCACCCCCATCCCCTGGCTGGACTCCAAGTCAGCATCCAGCCCTCCTGAAACCCAAAAATAACTGCTTCTCACATTCACGCCGCCCAACTTTACCCAATATATTGGAGTTCGTGGGGCAAGGGGGTCATGGGGAGGCGGCATGGGAAGGCGGGAAAGGAACGGCATACTCTCGTTTGAGCCCACCCTTTATCACTGCCTACTGGGTGCTCTGGAGCAAGCTGTTTAGCCTCTCTGGGCCTTAGTTTTATGGATTGCCTCCACAGGTCTCGGTGTTCTAGAGTTTAGTCTGCAGAACTCAGGCGGTGCAGGGTCAGAGGAGTTCTACAGCTGTCGGGGACTATGAGAAGGAAGGCTCTGTGTTCCCAACTCTAGCAGGACCAAGCTGGGTTACTAAATAAGGTTACTTTAGATCTTCAAACATTTGTACCTTCCATCCTTCCTGAGTGCCCTTTCCTCTCAACCTGTTGAACCCAGACCTCAAGGGCACCTTCTCTGAGTCTCCCTCACACCTTATGTTGCTTCCTAGTCAGCCCCTTTCCTGTATCTGGTAACTTTAGGTGCTCTTGAACGTAGCTTGTGGGGCTTCTATCATTTGCTTTTTTTTTTTTTTTTTTTTTTTTTTTTTGGTTTTTCGAGACAGGCTTTCTCTGTAGCTTTGGAGCCTGTCCTGGAACTAGCTCTTGTAGACCAGGCTGGCCTCGAACTCACAGAGATCCGCCTGCCTCTGCCTCCTGAGTGCTGGGATTAAAGGCGTATACCGCCAACACCCTGCTCTATCATTTGCTTTGGATTGTCCTGAGACCGGTGTTCTGACTTTAAACCTTAGGTACCGATTACCTGAGTACCTGAATGGTAATGGTCTTGCTTTTGATCTTCCTAACGCGGCCAAGTTTACTCCACAGAGGAATTTTACTCTCTGTTCAGAAGACAGCTGTCAAATCAGCTCCGTCTCCACGCCTGTCACTCCCACCACAGTGAGCTTTTGAACAACACCCCGCTTGTTTATCTTCCAGGCTCTCATCTGAACTTTTGTCATTTGGTCCTAGAATATAAATTTCAGGAAGACAAGGACCCTCCTTCTCTTTTTCACTGACTGAATTCCCACATAGTGTAACGCATGTGTTCAACTGGGTGACCTGGCCCAGTCTTTTTCCCTCTTTCGAAGTCATTCTTATCTCAGGCCAGTAGAGGGTGCCGGCCTCCACCTAGGATCTCTGCTGGCTTGAGCCTTCCCGGCACTTGGCCCAGAGGGGCCCTTGCAGGACCCGCTTTCCAGAAGATAACCTCCTCCCCATTAGGAGAATCCTCGCAAGGGCGGGGTCTGTGTAGGACCGGTGGGGACCAGCGGCCCTCCAGCCGGAGATAGTCTACCTGAATTCGCATTAGTTCCTTATAGGATTTTCAACTGGACCTCCTCGATTGCTTGTTGTCCCGCAAATCTACCCCCAAAGAACAGTGTCTTGGGACTCGGGATGGGGAGACCGCTATTTTGACAAAGCTGTTCTGGGCGGGCAGGGAAGAGCCGTCGAGCCTCGCAGGAGGAAGGGGCACTGGTCAGAGGGAGACGGGGCAAGGGTGTTGGACTTGTGATCAGGACTCCAGGAGGGCACACGCTTCCAGCCGCTTCTCTCCATGACCTCCAGTCGCGAAGGGCGAGCAGGCGGGGGCTGGGCTGCGGGTACGTGCTCGGAGAAGCCTGCGGGGCCGGGGAGGGCGGTTCCAGTGGCCCGACGACCCGCCAAGGACTGGGGCAGGTACTTGGACGGACGCGGGCTGAGGATCATCCCCGGGGGCAGGTGCAGCGAAAACACCTCGGGAGGCGGCGCCGCACGGTTGAGCGCCGCTGCCCTGGGAATAGGACGGCGCTCCGCACCGCGAGCTGAGAGCACTTTCATAAATTTTGTATGGGAGGCGCTCCGTGAGCGGGGGCGGGGAGCGGAGAGGGAGGGAGGGAACTGAAGAGCGAGGGAGGGAGGGAGGAGGAAGAGAGGTGGGGGAAGCCAGGGGGAGGAAGGGAGGCGCCCCGCTCCGCGGATCGCTCAGTCCTGCAAACGCGCGCCGGGCGCTTCCCCGGGAGCTGGGCTGTGCGAGTGAGCGCCCTTTTGCAGCAACCGCTGCCCGAGGGGGCGGGGAAGAGGGGACTCCGGCCGGCCGGCCAGGGGGCGGCGTCCCCCCCCCCAAAACCGCCTGCAAAGTGTTTGGGGAGGCACAATCAGGCCGACTGCTCGGCGGAGCAAGCCACTCGCCCCGGGGCTGAGCGAGCGCACTGGGTTGGTTGGGAGCGGTTGCTAGCGGGCGCCGGTGCCCTGGGCGCCGGGCTTGGGCTCACCATGCTCCTACGGGACCGGGTCGCCGGGCACAAGCGGATCCCCGGTTTGCCCCCGCCTCGACGCGCTCGGATTAGCTGCAGCTGGCTCCCAGGGATTTGAATCTGGACCCCAGGAGGGAGCGCGCCTAGGCCGACCTCGGAGCGGCGGCCCCCCGGCCAACATGCTTCGCAAAGGTGAGTGGGAACCGTAGGAGCAAGTTGGAGTTGAATGGAACTAGGCAGAGCCTCAAGTCCCCGGAACCGTCGAGCGCCGGGGAAATGGGTCCCGGAAGCAGACCCCCGCTAGCTGGCTGGCTTTTGTCACAGGCACCCGCTGTGCGCCTGCTGCTGGAGCTGAGATTCCGTTGGTGGCCTGTTGCGAAACATGGGGTTTGTTCGTGGATCGAGTGGCCAGGCCTCAGGGGTCTGTTTCAAGGGCTCAGAGACCAGAGTAGAAACCTTTGGTAAAAAGGGAGCTGGCCTCCTGGGACCTTTGCTTTGCCATTATAAAGTTTTGCACTTGCAGGCTCCATCCCCTGCGCGGGCACCTGCCACTGCTTCTGCTGCTTCTGCACCGGGTACCAGTGCAGCCAACGGTCAGTTACCGTGCGACCCCGGCGCTCACCGCGGGTCCTAACTCGACATCTTCCTAGAATCCTAGCCTTATCCCCGGGGACAAGCCCTGAGCACTCAGCGACTGAGGGTGGGGAGTGGCAAGAGCCAGAAGTCCGGTTTCTCAAACTTTCCTTATGCCTGGATCAGAGGGACGCGACAGCGAAGGCCGAGCTGGCAGTGTGCGCGGCCAGAGCCAGGCTCAACTTGACTGGAGCTGTCTCGGCGACCACCTCGCCCAGACTCCCCGGCAGCAGGAGCGCAGCAAAGTTGGCGCGGGTGGCGGGGAAGTCCTGCCGCGCCCCCACGTGGTTGCCGTTCTGGGTGCTGTCCCTCGGGTCCAGAAAGGGCAGGTGACCACACTTGAGCCCGCGGACCTGTCACCCTCCGCTCCCCGCCTCTGCATGTGTTTCTTTGCTCCGAGGTCCCAGTGGGCTGGCTGTGGCGCCCCTCTGGGACCCCCTTGTCCCTAGCCTGGGCCCGGCGGCTGCTGAGCTGCGGTGTCTGCTGCTGGCTGCTCCCGCCCTGCGGGAGCCAGCTGAGGCGGGAGCTCAGGTAGCGGAGGGGCCTGATCCCTGCGCTCCGCGCTCCAGCCTTAATCCGCCCCTGTTTCCATGGCAACAGACCGAGGTGTCGTAAGCACAGGATTCTGACCTCACAGCAGGATGGGGAAGGAGAAAACGGGCAGGGGGAGGTGGTAAAGGTGGGGGAAGCCAAGCCCCTGATGGGCGGACAGAAGTAGATACCCGATGATGGGAGAGAGCCAGATAAGCAGGTCAGACAGGTGGGTGAAAAAGCCACACCTTCCATGTGAGCAGAAAGGGTTGAGTGGTGGTCCAGCCTCAGGCAACCGTGGAGGCTTGGTTGCCCCACCGTGTAAGAACAGTCACAAACTTGTGTATGACTTGTGCCCTCCACGTGGTCGGTACAGTACGGAGAGGGGGGACGACACACTGCCTTTTGCTGTGGCGTGGGACAGTTCTCTGCAGTAGTTAGAGGAACTGCTTTGCTGTTGACACCCCAGTTCCTTTCACTGCAGAAAGACACGGAAAGTCATTTCAGACACTCAGCAGTGCTGGAGTGCTGGCCAGTGTGTCGGCACAGGAAGGTGATCTTACAGAGCTGAAGACGGTGGAGTCTGAAAATTTAAGCCTGGGCATAGAGCATGTAGACTCGTTCTAGCCGGGAAGGCTTCCCAGGCAATTTTTAAAAGGCTGCCATGTCTGGGCTGCAGGTCTGTGATGGAGATAATGGGGAAGAACTGACATCTCATTTCCCTTTTGGTCTTTTGTCTTTTGGCAGTTTACAGTTAAGAATGAGCCACAAAGCAGCCCACACACTTTAGTTATATGGTTTAGGTGCCCGGGGAGGCTCCAACAGCCTTCAAGAGCTCTCTAGTATCCTTGCTAGCCAGAAGCCCCAGTGCATCCTGGGAGGGGGATGCTCCCTGGGAGAAGGCACCTTTCCCTGCTCATGAGGTGGTCACTGGAAGCCTGGTAGTCACGTGTGTTTGCCACTTGGGCTGTTTCTCCCTTCCTGCACAGAAGAGGTTGACTAGAGAGATTCCATCGATTGAAGTTCACACCTGGGTTGACTTGAAGGAAACAGAGCAGAGAAGCCCTCGCCAAGGCTGACTGGGGCGTGGGTGGCCTGGAGCCTGCTCATGGGACACCGTGAGAGCAAATGACTTGTTCTGGTGCTTTTCCTGGGCAATTTTCTTGTTGGGTCGCTGGTCTGATACCATGGATTTATCTCTTCTGCACATGGAGAGATGTTCAGATGTGGATTGTAGGTGTATGCCGAAAGCCAAAGTATGCCTCTGGCTAGTGGCAAGGGAGGTGATCACTGAAGTTTCTGTTTGTGGAGTTGTTCCCAAAGGCTCCAAACAGCAAGGTTTACAGGTTGATTTGAGAAGGCAGTTGCCTGGCTTGTGCAGAATCCTACATGGGGTCCTGGGCCTGGGTGAACTTAATAGTTATGGTTTGGAAGAGGGTTTGAAGGGAGGAAATGTTTTCTTCCTAGAGCGGGGAGAACAGACCCTGGACCATGAGAGTCATCTCTCTGATTTCTGATTGTCCTAGTAAAGTTATTTCTGTCAGGCCTTTTTGGGGGGTTGGGGAGATATCTTTATCTCTTAATAAAGGGACCACCACTGTGTGAACCAGAAGCACCCCCGTGAAATCCAGCTGCTGACAAGTGCTGATATGTGAAGACTTCAGCAGCTGCTCTGCCGGTGTTTCCAGCTCATAGTCTATCTACCCTGACAGAACCAGGGATAGAAAAAGCAAGCCTCTGGTCAAGAGAGATGAGAGGCATCAAGGCAAGCAAAGCCCCGAGCCATCCAGCATTTTCCAGGAAGGAAGGGCAGCCTGCTGGGGGTTTTTGCCATTCCAGAATTACAACACTTAAGGTCAGGATCTATGGTTTTCATTTTTAGGGCTATAAAAACAGAATGCAAATCAAGAGCCCCTGGGCTAATACAGAGCCCTTTCCTTAAAGTTTTTGTCTTGTTAAGCAAGGAACTAGAGTGCCAAATAGGCTTTGTTAAGTGGCAGTCTAATTAATAATTTAAAATCGTGTAGCTGTCTTTCATTAGAATTTATCTGTACATCAACCACAAAATCAGTCAAACACTCATTTATAAGTTAATGCCATCCCTAAATAATTCAGCAAGTTCTAGATTAAGGCCTACAACCCAGTAAGATGCTTTTGTTCTCCTGGTGGTCATATCTAGATGGGCTGGCCAGGTAGCTCAGTGGGCTTCTGCTCTGTGAAGAGAACGGAAGCAGAGGGAGAAAGTAGTTTGGTGCTGTCAGGTGGCTGGTGGATTCCACAGAGGTCCCTTGTCAGGTGATGTGAGAGTCTCCCCAAGTCAGGTGTAAACGGCGCCATTTCTACATCCTTCTGAGAACATGAGGACCCAGAATTGTGACAACATGGGTTGTCTTTGCCCCAGTGGAAAGAAAAGAGAATATGGTTCATGGATGGCCAAGACACTCTTTCCTGCAGTGGGAAAGATGTAGAGGGGAAATATAAGACCTTTTCTAGAAAGAGCCGAGATAGTTGACTTTTTCGGTCCAAATTCAGCCAGGGAAGTGGAATTTCAGTGTCTCCAACCTTTTTCTATCTCAGTCCAGCCCAGCAATTCAGCCTGGTCGAGCCGTCCTCACCAGATGCTTCTTTATCATCAACCCCTCAGAAACTGTGCCTCTCCTCAGAGCGCCTGGTCCTTCCTCCAGAAGAGAACAGCTAAGAGGAGGTTTTGGGGACACCCAGGCAGAGAGGAAAGGCAGAGGAGGTTGCTAAGTAAAGTCGGTGAGGCGTGGTCTCATCTGCAAGCAGAAATAAGGCGCAGGGTTTCTGCTTGTTTTGTGTTGTCGTATTGAGACAGGGTCTCTTTGTGTAGCCCTAGCTATTCTGGAGCTCACTACATACGCCAGGATGGCCTTGAACCCAGAGATCTACTTGCCTTTGTCTCCCAGAGTCCTGGGTTAAAGGCACGTGGTACCATGCCCAGCAAGAAGTGAGCTAAGAACAGTGGTAACCTTGGATAAGGTAGGCAGTGTGTTTGACCCAGTTCTTGTCATGAGAGCATGGGGTCCATTTCTTGGTACAGAACCTTTAGGTCCATTTTCTATAGGGAAATTGTCTAGGAGCCAAACTCCCAGGATCAATATTGTTCCTTCTCTGTAGGAGTGAACCTCCTGAGCTCTGCTCCATGTACCAGCCACTAGCCCATCAGAGGGTTCAACACTGCTGTGGAGACCAGGTAGAGAACCATAGCAGATGGGCATAGAGCCAAGAGAGGTTCTTGGCTAAGTATGACAAGAGGAAGTCTCATTAGGAAAAGGCAGGAAAGGATAGCTATTTGCCCTCTTAACCTGAGCAGAGTTGCCAACAGAAGGGGACCAAACAGGGGGAGCCTGAGGAGTGAATCCACCTCTAAGCTCTAGACACATCTTTGGGACGGGGCCTGAGAAAGGACAGAGCAGTCCGTGCCGATGAACTGAGCCGGAGGGGGCAGGCATCATGAAGGATGTCGCAAACGGGTCCGTTTGGTACCATCTGCAGTGAAGTAGTGGTTAAGGTTATAGCAGAGAGGAGATGACAGGGAGGGAACAGATGGCCAAGGAAGCAAAATAGCTGGCAAAACGGGAACAGAGCCTCCAGGGACAGCAGAAGGCAGGACCTCAGCACCGAGTGCCGGAAGCAGCCCTTTCCTTGGTGTGTGACGGCCAGGCCACCCTGGGTAGAAATGAGTCAGGGAGCTAGCTGAGTATGGCAGCATATGGATATAATCTGGCACCCAGGAGGCTGAGGCAGGAGGATTGGAAGTTAAAGATCAGTATGGAGGACAATGAGGACTACTGAGACATCAAGAACAATGGCAATGGGTTTTTGATCCTATTGCATGTATTGGCTTTGTGGGAGCCTAGGCTGTTTGGATGCTCACCTTACAAGACCTGGACAGAGGAGGGTTTTCCTTGAACTTCCCACGGGACGGAGAGCCCTGATTGCTCTTTGGGCTGACGAGGGAGGGGGACTTGATTGGGGGAGGGGGAGGGAAAGGGGATGTGGAGGTG